TCAAGAGTAATTGTACAGATTTTTACATAACAAAATGTACAAAACAATAGTTATTAATATCATTTAAAATGGTGAAATAAACTTGTCTTTAGATTTTTGTGTGAGGCAATGTTCCAGTTTGATAGACTAAGTTGTAGGGTAATTTGTATGAATTTGGAAACATTCAGTTCAATGTAATATTGTATTCCAAATAAACAGTTCAAAGTTTGTGGAAAAGTGTGTGTGGCTGTGACTTACATTGTTTTTGACTTTTGAGGGTGTCACCTCATTGTTTGCCAACATGAGTTTAATTTACATTGAATGAAGAAAATAGACTGTGGTCATGTTAGAAAGGATTCTTAACTTATAGCCTGGACTTCAGTTGAAAGTTATTTTATGATGAATGTCATCACGTAGCATGTAGCTTTTTTTGTCCAACTCCCCCCTCTCCACACACACACACAAGTCTCTTAATTGTTTGTTGATTATATAAGCAATACAAGTCACTTGATAGGCTCCAGAAAATTTTAAAATTTTGGCACAACTGTACCTTTAATCAGGGCAAATTAAGGTAGGACATGCTGACAACATGCCATGTGATACATTTCAACCAATCAAATTATGTTAATTATGTAATTTGATTTGGAGCCTATGTTTTGGTTATGAAGTTTTGAGTAAAATATAGGATCTGGATTCCATAGGCAACACTGTCATGAAATCAAACAAAAAACAGTTAAACAGTACAAATAATAGAATTGTCAAATGTTTAGTTTATGCATGAAAATTTTATGTTAAAGTTAACTTTTTATGCTAGTCAAGGAACTAAAAATTTGATTTAATCAATTTTGAATTTTTGCAAAAAAAAAAAAAAAAAAAAAAAATACATTTGCAATTTAACATTTAAAAACAGTAAGAAAAGTCAACCCCTCTTCAAATACTGATAGTATAGTTGCACCTTTTAGGTGGATACACACGTTTTGAATAGACATCAGTTGTTTTTAAGCTGCCTACCTATATGAATTTCCAAGAGATTTTAACAAGAAAAAAAAAAATAAAAAAATAAAAAAAAATAGAGCACTTCAGCACGATTTCGAACGTGCCATAGCCCAGTGCGCTTTTAGACTGCTCAACTATGTAATGTCACGACGAAGCAAGGCTCTTGTCACGTGTATGTGTACCTTATGTCAATGTTTTTCATCTTAGTCAAGGGCTGTTAAAAATGTTTGGTTTTCGTTTTGTTTTTTTTCGAATGCTAACAAGCATTTGTGTTTAGTTTCAAAATAGCCAAAACATTAGAAAATGTGCGAAACACTTGCAAAAGAAAAAAGTCATCAAAATCTATTTAAAGTTCATCTTTGCTCTATTTCCAAGATGAACTCAGAAAAGATTTGTTCACATGATTACCACCCAATTAACCAGCGAGAGCTCATTTATTTAACGCACTCAAGGGTTGTTTTTTTGTTGTTGTTTTTTTTAAGAGAAAAACTCACTTGCAAGAATTAATTATTAGATTATTATATGACTACTGCAAGGTCGAAGGTTAAACTCCAAGTGGGCAAGAGCCAACCAAGCTGAAAGATAAATAAAATTTAACAGCAGCTTAAAAAAAAAAAAAAAATTGATACTACTTTACGTCTAATAAGCCAAAAATACGACATAACTTTTTTAAGCCTCATATTCTGAGCCCTTTTAGTCGAAAGTCTTGCATATTCTAAAATGTTAGTATTTTTCCGTGATGAAACGAAAATTTATATCGGAAATAAAAAGGGAAATGCGCAGAGACGTTTCAATTTACAATACATTTGAACAATTTCAGTTTATTAAACTTGAATTTCGAGCTTAAAATTCAAGAGGCGACTCGAAATATGAAGTTAAAAATTAATAACATGTAATTGAGGTAAGTATTTGGCCTGCATAGTTTCAAATTCTAAACTCAAACTTACAAATCACACCAACAATTTCTAACATTAAAAACGGTTTAATAATGCAAAAAGATCTTCTTTGCTTGGTTTTTAAAGTCCAAATCTTTGCGAGGGATCAGCAGGTGAGAGGAGATAAAAAAAAAAAATAAATTAATTAATTAAGGCTTATTTATGCATCATTTTCTTTTAATCAGTTTCTCATTTTAGAACCCACAGGGACAAAAAGGTTTTAAAATTTTCATACCGATAAAAAGCGAAAACAATTTTAAGAGAAATTCTACGGAGAAAAAAAAAAGTGAAAACTTGGATAATTAGTTAAGTTAGAGAGAATCTTTCAAGGTACTTTAACTTTATTCAGTGAACTAAAAAGTCTACGAAGTTTTGAACTAAAACGAGAAAAAGCATTCAATTATAACAAAACTCAAAGCAACTCAGGTAGGCCAACAACTTTAATCTAAAAGAGTCATTAAAAAGAAACATCAATATCGTGACTTTTTACAACCCAAATAAACAGGCGGATGAGTAGAGGTGGGTATGAATTGTTTTCAGATCATTTAGTGTGGTTTTACAACTTTCAAAAGAAATAATTGCGTGATAAAAGTTAATTGGGTCAATGAAAGGAAATTCTTTTGAAAAAAAAAAAAAAAAATTCTTACAATCATAGGTAGCCGTCAGACGTAGGTGTTACTGTTCAGTGACCATTACACTTGTGACATTTTTTTTCTTTAATTTCTAAACAATTCGATTCTTTCATCAATGCCTAACTTTAGATTCCAAATACCTTAATCTCAGCTAAAGTGATAAATTTCAATACCCGGTATCAACATATGAAGGTGTGTAGTCACTTAAACAAAAAAACAAACAACAACCCACTAAACTGCGCATTTTATTTTCGAATATACAGAAAGTACCCAAATGTAAGGAAACAGTAGGTGAGGGAGACGCCAACTCCAAGCTGAAAATCATTTCAAAAAAGAAAAGTTGAAGTTTTTTTTTTTTTTTTTTCCTTCTTTAGTTACTGAAGCATATTGCAAGACACCGCCCACGACCACTAGCTAGAAGATTATGAAGTGACAAGTTCGTCGGAAGGGTGAGTCTTTACTATTTAGCCTAACAGAACAAGAATTATCTGGGAGGATGGGATCACAATCACAGAAAAGTGGAGACATTCCTAAGCGTATTTGACGGAGGTCATCAAGAACATAAATAATACTTTAGCTAATCACTGAAGAGAAGAATGAATATCTAACAAAGGTAGTTAGATATTTTAAATTTTGTCGCCAGTTTGTGTTAAGAGAAGCGAACAATTCAGCAACGAAATGGGGAAAAAAATACTAGGCTAAGTAAGTAAGTGAAATGAATTACTACTGAAGATGCGACCAGTACTAAACATCCACACGAAAATCTTAAGGGGCCATCTTAACAACCACTGTGTGTCACGTCTTTCGACACAGAGATTCAAAGCCAGTACAACAAATTAAATTAAATTTATAAAAAGACACTTATAACGACCGTATCAGTACAAAACATTTTTTCATCACAAAAATAGTAAAATGTGCCGTAACAATGTTAGTTTTTAAGGTTTTTTTTTTTTTACGAAACTCGTAAAAAACCTTAACTTTGGTTGGAGACAAAGTCTGATCACAAGATAAATAACTTCTTACGCTAAATTTGAAAAGGTTATGAAACAGGTGTATTAGAAGCTTGGCTAACAAAAACAGTCTCCACACGAGAGACTTCATAAAGTTAGCAAGCACGCAAAGCTAGTATTTTTATAAAATAAGTCACAAAATTGAAAACACGCTCCATATAGCCGTAAAGGAGTTAAAATAAAAAAAAGTTATAAAAACCGAAGAAAATAAATCGAAGTTTGACCTTTTGAAATCTCGTAAATATTGTAATGTGTTTTTAGTATTTATTAAGATAAACAAAAACTTCCGAACAAAGATAAATATTAGTGGTTGTAATAGTAAACACAAAAGATAAACATTTAAAGAAGTCCTCTAGTCTGAGCACACAAAAAAAATGCAGGGTTTTTGGGGTTTTTTTTGCAGCCCATAGCTTCTAAAAGAAAAAAAAGTACACCTTTTTTAAAAAAAAAATAATAAAAATAAAAAATAAAATAAAAGGCCAATCTTGATTGTACGTTTACTTTTTAGTTAAATAGTTTTCCTATGTTTTTTTTTTTTTTTATTGCTAGGAGTTTAAATTTAAAAGGTAAAGGAAAACGGGTGTGACGGAAAACTATGAACGTCAAATGTCCTCACACCTCTGTAGCCTTTTACATTTACAGAACGAGAGAGAAAAGAATCAGGTGTGCTACATAACATGTGACACGTTAAACTTTTAGCACAAAGTTAATTGCAGTAATAATAGTACAGAGGCATGGACAAGTAGTAGGCTGTTGGATTTCATAAAAAGATATTTAAATTTATACAACCGAGAGGGAAATAGATTACTAAAGTGGGGAAGAATTTATATAGGAAAAGTTGAAAACTTGTTTTATTTTTTTAAAAAGTCAATTTGCAAATATCTTTCAACTTTATTAAAATTGAAAATAAGATTGTAGGCAAGCAAATGCAGAATTTAGGAAGTTAATTAAAATGTCTAAAAACTTTAAAGTTACCTATTCCCTTGTTAATCAGTTAAACTTAAAGTTTACTAAAGAGATAAGGTAGGAATGGGCACCATTTCGCTAAAAAAAATGCATACCCTGATGAAAAAAAGCCCCCAAACTTTATTAAAAAAAATTTGTATTGTCTAGATGTTTATGTCATTAAGAGGAAAGAAAGACCAAAGTATTTTTTGAGTATTTTCTAAAAAATTTTAATCCTTTCTAGCATGTCCGAAATTTTAGCTAAAAATCTTTTTTTTTTTTGTTTTGAGTCATCAGAAAAAAAGTGTTAAAAATGCTTTTTTACTTAATCAATTTGATCCTCATCTCCGATAAAGAAAAAGTAATCTTTTTTTAACTTTAAAAATTGAAAATAGTAGGGATTTCAGTTTTAATACAACTTTTAGTTTCTCTTTAAAAACTAAGTTCTGAGAAAGAAAAAGGGAGTCATCCCCTACACAGACACAATAAAATATATTTCTTACCTGTATCAGCTGTATGGTATGAATTTACGTGTACAGGTCCTTCCGTCAGGACAGCATCAGAGGTCAGGGGAGTTTTACAATAAATTACCTCTGGCATTTCACCCCGTATGACAATCTTCTGTTCTTTGAAGTAAAGGTCCGTCTCGCCATCGACCACCAATAACTTCGTTTCTTCACCACCCGCCTTGATCCTCTGTACAACTTGCTGGTGATTTTCATTTCCAATATTTACGCCATTCACTTCAACGATGCGGTCACCCTGTCGAAGTTGGGCAGCCAGAGCTGGGGACCCTTCGTCCACTTTTCCGATGTACTGACCCGCCTTGCCCTTTTCGGCGTGTAAATTAAATCCATAACCATTAAAATCATCCCACTTAGTCAAATGACACAATCGAGGATGATAATTAACAGTACCACCGTTGCTGTTATGATCACTCATGGTGCTTAATTTCGTAGATTTTTTTTTATTTTTTATTTTTTTTTGCTATTAAATATTGTTTAATTTTTTCTTCAATTAACTGATGTACACAAATCCTTCGCGAGAGTCCGGCAAGGCCGCTCCTTCTCTTTAAAGCTGTCTTTAGTAGCGAGCGAAAATATTCTTGTTTACTTGTCACGCAGACACAACTGCTACTATGGCAATAGCAAGCTTCACTCTTTCGTTCCTCTGTTTCTGAAAGGAAAAGTAAAATGTGGCAATTTTTAAGGGTACGAAAACTTTTCTTTCGCTGGTTGTTTTGTTCCACACCCAACTACAGAAGGCACCTGTCTACCAATGAATGAACGAGCGCTTTTTTAAGTTGTTGAAATGAGGCAGCGGGAGAGGAAAAAAAAATATAGACCAGAGCCGGTGTTAGATAGCTAGTAGCAGTAGGCAAAGCAGCCAGCACACGCAAGCGACAAAGCCACTTGCTTACTTAAGCGCCCCGGTTTCTTCTCAGCTAGAGTTAATATGGCGATGTCAAGTTCAAGGTCACGTGATTCGGCCTCGACCAATCGTCGCTTTTTCTTATTCTTCAGGTAATAACTTCAGCCGCTTTAATTTTTAACTCAAATCTGAAACTTAAAAATTAAATGTGGACACGAAAAGCTATCATGATCGCATTAATGTAGCTTACTGATATAAAAAAATAAATAAACAAAGAATAGATTAATAATTATATAATTACGGTATCTCTTAAAATTTCCGATATCACTTTTTTTTATTACTCATAAAAATATTTTTTTTTACTTTCTTTCTCACCTGCAAAAGTTTTTTTTCTTTAATCTTAACTTCTACCCTTTCAGTAACTGAACATAATCGCAAGTCAAATAATTGTCTGATTGCTGTTATTAACTAAAAAAATAATTTCGATCGTAACCTCTTATACATGAGTTGAGCTGCATCAAAAAAAAATACATAAAGGCTCGACATAAGATCACAAATGCTGTGAGGACCAAATTCACTAATTGTCTGCTACACTCACTTATCATTGTTTCGAGGTGAGGCACACCATCGGATTTTTATGTTGAGTTTTATAAGGAGGAATTCCTCATAACTTTTTTTTTCTAATTGAATTCCTCCTCCTACACCTGCTTATTTTTTTATGTTTGCGTGTAGCTTTGTCTGGCACAAGGTCACAGTAATTGAGCACCCGGTGAGGAACGAACTCACCGCATTGGCAAATACCCCTATAGTCGGCACCCTGCTTTTTTACGTATTAATTCAAGTCGGTGCATTTTTTTTTTTTTTTTTTAGTGTTTCTTCACGCACTTATCAATAATTTATTCTTAAACAATTCTTTTTATTCACAAAGTGTTGTTTTTTTGGATACGTAGTTTCTCTCTCTCTCTCTCTCTCTCTCTCTCTCTCTCTCTCTCTCTCTCTCTCTCTCGATAGCAGTTCACTACTCGTATAGTCAATGTTGAAAATTTATATTTTGTATCTAAATCTAAAAAGATGGAAATTTTTAGTTTTTAAATTATTATTTAAATTTTAAAGCGAAGAAGACTTTTCTTTCTTTTTTCGTTCTTTCTTTCTTTCTTTCTTTCTTTCTTTCGTTCTTTCTTTCTTTCGTTCTTTCTTTCTTTCTTTCTTTAATAGCCGAAGCTTACTAAAGTTTATTGTAGTAGTAGACTAAAGAGAGTGGTTGAACAAAATCGCTAGCTTCGGAAAAAGACTCAGTGAAGAACGTCGGATCTCTGAGTTTGGAGAAATTCCTTAGAATATTGGAATTCTCGTGGTATGCAAATAAATGCGTTTCTTTTCAGAGGAACGTAGAACAGTGGCAGCTTTCATTTCACACACTTCTCTAATTTTCTCTCGTTTCTTGTCTTGTGGTGTTGTTTTGATAAATATTTATAATGTATTAAATATTAAATCTGGAAAATTATACACAACGACTACTAAATGTATGGCTTTTAAATGTTTTATTTTTTATAACTTGAAATACAAGCAAATACTTGCTACATAACTTGCCACTATATTCAGGTTTTGTTTTAAGTTCTGGCAATGAATTTCATATTCAAACATGGAAGACAGTCATAAAAATCAATTCTCTACACATTTCTTGATTCGTCATTTGAATATCAAGTTTTGACCTTTTAACAATACCACCTAGAGTGTTTTACCATATTTAGGTGCCATATGTGGTACACACTTGGACAATCATGTCTCTCTTCGATCTTTAGTAGACGTCCTGCAGTCGGTTGCCGTTACTTTCTGCGGTAGACTGGTTGCCAACCAAGGCTATAGGACCCAGTCTCTCCTACTATTTAACCCATAGAGCAGTGTTTCGCAACCTTTTTAAGCAACGTCACACCTAGGAGCAAATGAAAATATCGCGGCACACTTAGCAAAAACCTTTCAAAGGCATACATTTAAATGTTATGAAATAAAAAACTATTAAAAATGCATATACTTACTTTTTTAATCTTTCTATTTAAGTATTTATGTAGTTTATTTAGTGGAAACCTGTCCATGTTTTTGTTCGTTTTTGTTTGTTTTTTTTGTTTTGTTTTTTCGCGATTTCTTCAATGTTTGGTTGAATGTGCGATAAACGGACCTCCACTTCTTCTTCAGTTGAGTGTAGTCTTTCTCGCTTCTTATTTTTGATGTTATTTAGAGTCAGGACGCTTAATTCACGCAAATAAAAAGTAGAAAACTGATAAAGCCTTTTTGGTTAATGTGGGATATTCCTTTTGTATTGAAATCCAAAATATATCAATGGGTACCGTCGAATGTTTTATTTTGAGCCCTCGATCACTAGAAATGATGGCCGATTCTTCTTCACATAAACTGAAATCCAATATTAGAAGGAACATTTATGAAGGGATTTCGAATCCAATCCTACTTTTCTGGCAAGACGGTCGAGAATCACTACCATAGAGTCTTAAGTGCCCCTTTTTTTTTAAGCACAACTCGCTCGATCAATTCTCTTACACATCAAATGAAAACCACTTCCTTGTAGAACCCTAATACGTTTTCCTTTTCTACAAATTAGATGAGCTTCCCGGTTTTTTGTAAGCATAAAGCAGGAAAGGAAGACAGGTCAAAACCTTAAAGAATGTTTTTCTTCAAACTTGAACTTAATGTTGTAGCAAGTAAAACAATATTCCAATGCGCGGGCGTGTGTGTATGTGTGTGTGTCGTAACCCGTTAGGGTTGTAGAGGCACTACATATTTTACAGTAATAGCAGCAGTTGCGTGCCTAGGGCAAGATAGTCTGACGGAACCCAACCCTCTTCTGGGTTTTGAATTCAGTTTTCCTTCTCCTAGACTGGTTGCCACCACAAAGGAAAGAAGACCCAGTCTGTCCTGCTATTTAACCCATAGTTGGAGGAACAAATATACAGGCCTTTTCCAAGGGCAATAGCCTCGAGGTGAACGAAAGAGAATCGAACGGAAATTAATCTCTAATTCATTTTGCGCGCTGATATCCAATATACTGCGCCTCTGGATGGATATGTGAGAACATTAAAATTCGATGTACATTTATAAAAGAATCACGTAGCTTGATTTTCGGTAATGCCCGAGTTTAACCACGCTACAAATGTAACTAATTTTAAATTTATTGAATTTTACACACCTTATATTTTCTTTTTTAATATAAGCGTTATTTTACTGGATACCTATTCTTTAAGCGAACATCCCCGGTGAAATTAATGCCCACCGGCCTAAGCAACAGAAAGTCTTATCATATAAATGTACCGTACATACTTGTGTATAAGTCGACTTCATATTAAGTGCGACCACTGAATTTTTTTGCACGATTTTTAACCCCTCCAGAAAAAAATTATTTGTGCATAGTACAACCGGTAATCGAAAATGCATTATTTCTAACCTCTTCAAAAAAAAAAAAAAAAAAAATCCTATATAATGCGACCAAATATTTTTTGTTTAAAAAAAACTTATAAAAACTCGCACTATATCCGAGTATATATGGTATCACACGGAAGGGATCGAACCTGCATTTCCTTTATCCCGGGATTCCACTTTTTAGCCAGGTGTGTTTTAACTGTTTGATCACAGAGGACTCTTCAGCAAATGACAAAGCGGATTCAGGTTTGATCTCTGCCGAGAGGTACATTTTCTATAAGACTTTCTGTTGTCTAGACTGGTCGACATTTATTTCACTGTTTAGAAAAACGTGTATGTTCTCTCAAACATGTGTATCCAAACATGTATCAATGTTTTTCTTCTTTTTTTAACTCACGGTATACCTTTTCCTTTTTTTTTCACTAATGTTCACCCAATACAAGGCTCAAGAGCCACTCGAGGTAGAGGGTTACTGTGTGATGTTGCATTAGGGTAAGAATGGGCAAAAAGTGAAGTTATTAGGGCTATGCAGGAAAGATTAAAAAATATGAATATATGTATTGTTGCTTTGATGCATTCACTGGCCTATAAGTTTATTTTAGTTTAATTTATTTTTGCTAACTTTCCCCCAAAAGCCGCTCAATGTACAAGAGTCGTTCAAAAAGTTCTAAACCTTACCCAGAAGAAGTTGGAGAAATAATACAGTTTTTCATTATTTTTCAATATAGTCCTCTTTAACATCAATACACTTGGTCCTCTAAATCTTATCCACAGCACATATGATCATATTTAACAAAACATACACATAGTCCGACAAAAAATGTATACACAGTTCATAAAAGGAAAAACTTATAATACTAAATTTATTCAGGCATCACGAGATTAATACAAGTTATCCTTGTACACTACAATCACAAGAGATACTCAAAATGGTGGCCTTTAGCTTCCAGCCATTTATTAGTACGGCGGACTACCACTTGGGAAACGTTGGCCAAAATGTGTGTGTGTGTGTGTGTGTGTGTGTGTGTGTGTGTGTGTGTGTGTGTGTGTGCGCGCGCGCGCGTGCACGTAAATGTGTGTATCTGTGTGTGTGTGTGTGTTAGGCGACGATCCCGATCAAATGATGAGACCGATTGACCTAA